ATCACATAGAGACAGTCAAAAAAACATATTAAAGTCCCCAAGCTATATAGCAGGTATGTGGGGTGCTGTGCCATGAAAAGAAAGCCCTCACTGACCACCACAAAATTGTAAGGGGGTGGAATGTAGCAAGCCAGAATTAAACAGGGGCAACCGTACAGAGTCGCATAAAAAGGTGACATAAAACTCATAACATGCAACCACAAAACGTAGTCCTATGGGGACGAACACTCGCTGGAGTGATGACTGGGAAGAAGGACACTTAGTATATGCGCCAGCTTAGGGTAGATTGCAGAAAAGCTAGCTGGATTTGTGAGCATCCGCTTGGTGGTGAACGTTCCAGGGAATCAAACCCCTCATTGGAGGAAAAGGAGGTACTCCATTCTGTCCTCCAGTCTCAGATATCTTCAGATGGAGAAGGAAGGTTGTGCAGGGGGCAAAAGTACTGAGGTGTCAAAGTCAACGGAACGGAAAGCAAACATCAATACTAGGAGCGAAATATGGCATCCAAAGGGGGAGAAAAGAGGGAAGGGGGAACAGGGAAAAATGGAAAATTGGGGGAGGAAGTAGGGGGGAGGAAAATGTGTGTAAGATCCTCGATGGTTGTGTTGGGCAGTGGAAAAATCAATTGAAAAAATGGGGAGGGGAAAAAAGGTCCAGGGAAGGATATCCAAAAACAAGAGGGAGAAACAGAGTCTCCTTCCAGCCCTCTAGCAAAGGGAAGAGCATACTCATGACCCTTGAGAGCAGGTGACTGGTTCAAGCAGGACGACTGCGATCTCCTTCTTTTTGATCGAGCCAGGTTGAAGCCATCTTTGGATCTTCAAAGAAGTGCACCCAATCTTCACCAACCACCTGAAGGTGGGCTGGAAACAGCATGTAGTACTCCAGATGTTTAGTGTAGAGGCACCGTTTGACTTCCGTGAAGCGGGATTGCTGCTTCTGGATTTTGGTCAGGAAGTCGGGGAACACTGATATTCTTACGTTCTGGAAGGGGATATTGCCCTTCTCTCTGGTCAGCCTTAGAACAGGATCTTGGTCTCTGAAATTGAAAAACTTTGCAATAAAGGTACAAGGCGATGCAACCACCAGGGGTTGGCAGGCCGGCATATGGTGTGTACGTTCAACTACAAAGGTGGTCGAAAAGTCTGCCCTGCTAAAAGTAGTGATCAGTAGGTTTTCTAGAAACGTGGCTGGGTCCGGGCATTCTGAGCCCTCTGGGAGGCCAATAAAGCGGAGATTACAGCGTCGGGCCCTGTTTTCCTGGTCATCCTATTTCTGAACAAGCTGTTATAACTGGGGTTGCATGGCCTCAGAGGTGTGCTATAAAGGGTGGATAGAGTCCTCCACACAACTGATGCGGGTCTCAGTTTTGGTGACCTGGTCATAGAGTTTGTGCACATTCTGGCTTAAAAGAGATAAATATACCTTTCACATCCTCTATTTTCCTTGGCAAGGTCACCTGGCATGTGGAGATCACCTCAAGTACGTTCGCCGTGTCAGCCATGGGTGGGTCTGAGGTAGGAGAAGCGGAGACGCCATCTTCCTCCTGGGGTCCCGCACTTTTCTCAAAAATTTGTCCAGGGAGGGTGTAGCAAATGCAGCTTTTCAAGGGGACGACCTGGTAAGAAGGTTGAAGCTCTAAGTAAGTTGAGAAGGGAAGAAAAATGGGCAAAAGACACTCAGGACATTGTAGTAGGATAAAACCGGAGCGGGGCTCAGTGCCCGTGCGTCCTACTCCATCACCGTCCAAATAGGTGTTTATTTTATTGACTTTTTACTCTGCCTAGATGAGAAATGGCACCATGTGTAGGGTAGGGCTTGGCTGGAAAGATGGAGGGAGAAGAAAGGGAAAACTGAAGGATACCAGTGAATGAAGTTGTGGAAATGCAGGGCAAGGGGCATAAATGACAATTAAATTGATGGTTTTGTTTTTAGTGCTGAATGAAATGTGGTAGAAACTGACCCACTGTCAGATGAATCAGAATGAATTGCATATGCACAGGGAGAAAGATGTGTGTAGGAGGGGAAAAAAATGCTTCATATACAGCAGTGTCCTCCACAATCCATCAGCCAGAGAAACCAAGAGGCTGGAGGCAGCAGCATGTCTGCCCAACAGCACTATAAAATAACTGTAATGTAACTGTATATTACAGATTAAACTGTTGAATATTATAGCACCTTTGGGAAGATATGGTGCTGACCTGTTTTCCTGGGTCTGCCTACTAATAGATTACACACACACTGTATATTATAGTACAGTCAAGTAGACGTGTTGCCAGCCTCCTGCAACTTTAGCTCTGCCCGTCGGTGACAGGAAAGGAGTGTAATGATATCTGTGCGATAAAGTGGTGCCCTAATTCTGCACTAACAGGAGAGACAGGAAGCCTCAGCCAGGTCAGAGGTAGCCCAGTAACACAGCACCGTGCACAGCATATACAGCTCAGAGTGTATTTTGTAGTACATTGTAACATTTTCACGTTAATGGATTTTTAAGCTTTAAAAATATATATTCTATATATATATATTTTACACACACTGCTCAAAAAATTAAAGGAACACATTGAAGACACATTAGATCTCAAAGGGGAAAAAATATCATGCTGGATACCTATACTGATAAGGACTGGGTAATGTGTTAGGAAGGTAAGGATGCCCCATTGTTTGATGGAAATTTAAATGATCAACCTACAGAAGACTGAATTCAAAGACACCCCAAAAATCAAAGTGAAAAAAAATGGTGCAGCAGGCTAGTCCATTTTGCTGAAATGTCATTGCAGCAACTCAAAATGCTACGCCGTAGTTTGTATGGCCCCCACGTGCTTGTATCCATGTCTGACAATGTTAGGGCATGCTCCTAATGAGATGACAGATTTCCTCCCAGATCTGGACCAGGGCATCACTGAGCTCCTGGACAGTCTGAGGTGCAACCTGGCAGCGTCGGATCAACCGAAACATGATATCCCAGAGTTGTTCTATTAGATTTAGGTCAGGCGAGCGTGGGGGCTATTCAGTGGTATCAATGCCTTCATTCTCCAGGAACTGCCTGCATACTCTAGCCACATGAGGCTGGGCATTGTTGTGCATCAGGAGGAACACAGGACCTACTGCACCAGCGTGGGGTCTGATAATGGGTCCAAGGATTTCATCCTGATACCTAATGGCAGCTAGGGTGCCATTTTCTAGCGTCTAGAGGTCTGTGCGTCCCTCCATGGATATGCCTCCCCAGACCATCATTGACCCACCACCAACAGTCATGCAGAATATTACACGCAGCATAATGTTCTCCACAGCTTCTCCAGACCCTTATACATCTGTCACATGCTCAGGGTGAACCTGCTCTCATCTGTAAAAAGCACAGGGTGCAAGTGGCAGACCTGCCAATTCCGGTATTCAATGGCAAATGCCAATCAAGCTCTATGGTAGGCAGTGAGCACAGGGCCCACTAGACGTTGTGCCCTCAGGCCACCCTCATGAAGTCTGTTTCTGATAGTTTGGTCAGACATTCACACCAGTGCCCTGCTGGAGATTATTTTGTAGAGCTCTGGCAGTGCTCATCTGTTCCTCCTTGCCCAAAGGAGCAGATACCAGTCCTGCTGATGGGTTATGGACCTTCTACACCCCTGTCCAGCTCTCCTAGAATCTCCTCTTGCTCTTGAGACTGTGCTGGGAGACACAGCAAACCTGCTGGCAATGGCACGTATTGATGTGCCATCCTGGAGCAGTCGGACTGCCTGTGCAATCTCTGTAGGTGTAGGGTCCAGGTATCGCCTCATGCTACCAGTAGTGACACTAACCCTAGCCAAATGTTAGGGCCAGGGCCTCCACCTGTAAAACCATTCCTGTTTTGGGGGTCGTCTCATTGTTGTCAATCTAGTGCACCTGTTAATTTCATTAACACCAAAGCAGCTGAAAAAATTGATTAACAACCCCCTCTGCTACTTAACTGACCAGATCAATATCCCAGTTTAACTGACTTGGGGGGGGGGGGGGTTATGTACATATACATACACATCATTAAGTACACCTTGCTAGTACCGTGTTGGACCCCCTTTTGTCTTCAGAACTGCCTTAATTCTTCATGGCATAGATTCAACAGGAAATGTTCCTCAGAGATTTTGGTCCATATTGACGAGTTACTGTTCCCTTTGTATCATCTTGGACCAGTCTGCCTATTCTCCTCTGACATAAACAAAGGCATTTTCATCCACACAACTGCCACGCTTTGGATATTCTCTTTTCATGACCATTCTCTGTAAACCCTAGAGATGGTTGTGTGTAAAATCGCAGTAGATCATTTTTTTTTTTTTTTTTTTTTTTTTTTTTATACTCAGACCAGCCCCTCTCTGGCACCAATAACCATGCCATGCTCAGAGTCACTTAAATCCCCTTTTTTCCCCCCATTCGTATGCTTGCTTTGAACTTCAGCAAGTCATCTTCACGTCTACATACCTAAATGCATTTAGTTTCTGCCATGTGATTGGCTGATTAGAAATTTGTTACCAAGCAATTATACAGGAGTACCTAATAAAGTGGCCAGAGAATGTACATACATACACTGCATGATGCAAAGTTGGCTAAAAGAACAGCAGCATGCTGCATGAAATGGGTGCCATATATTAGTTTACTCACCCAGAGTAGTCAAATGCCTACAACAGCTGGGGAGCAATGAAGTGCCAACATTGCAGGATATGGGGTACACCAAAGTTTTATTCTTTACAAAGTGAAGCTTCAACTCATTTACCAAGTTCTGGGGAACTGCAAAAGAGCACAGCTGTTTGCAAACCAACCCCACTGAATGTCACAATATGATTAGATTGTGTGGGTATGGGGATCCTTTGGGGGAAAAAAAAAAAAAAAAAAAAAAAAACAAACAAACACAATACACAACACTTCTTTTAGAAACAAAGCTGCTGACACTTTATTTGAACAAAATTTTTTTAAGTGCATTCAGAGTTCCCTAAATATATACATATTATATAACTTCCTGCAAAGCCGACGTGCTATTCTGGACGGTTCAGAAAGAAGTCAACAAGCTGCCTAAAAACGTCGTCATTGAACCCTTTAACATCCCCTTCTTCCACAGCCTCAAATAAAGGAGCACTCTGCGTTCCCCAACAAATGTTCTTGCGGTTGGGATCCTTATCAGAGTCCACTGCCAGAGCTACTGTATTGAGCTGGTAGCAAAAAAATGAAAAATACTTCCCATCGGAAATAACAGCTTGAGAGACAAATGGCCGTGTCACATCTGCCTGACTCCAAAAACCTGCAAAACAAAAACAGCACAGCTTAGACTAAAGCATCAAAGAATAGTTTTCACTTCAAGTAAAAAAGTACAATTAATGTTAGGAAGCAACATGCTCACCCCTGGTTCTAGAGATCATCATTGAGACATTGGGCCATGCAAATCCCTTTGTAGTCATCTGCACTGAAACATTAGTGCGCTGTACACACAGACTTCAGCTTGTAGAAGAGCAGTGCTTACAGCAAACATTTACAAGGTATTTACAAAGCTTTTTAGCAGGTCTCAGACGGCTATGCTAAAAAACAAAAAAAAACACAAAAACAAAAAAAAACAAAAACAAAAAAAACCAAACACTTTTGACCACTTCCCATCCAGCATACGTAGAGATCCTGTGATCAGCTATCAGGAAAAAGTGATCTGAGCAGCTCTACAGCCACATGATCAGTTTACAAGGCCTGGAAGGGAGCTGCCATTGCCAGGCTCACCTGTTCCACCAGAAGGCCTGGGACTGCTGCAAACAGTCAGACTGGAAGCCCACAGAGAAGTAGGAGGAACATCCATTCTTCTTTCTCCTCTGTGACAAATGAAGATGAAGGCAACAAGGATTTCATCACTTGTGTTTCAGTTCACTTTGATTGGCTGCCTTGGAGTGCAGAGAAGGAATCAGGGGTATAACAGACCCCTGATCTCTCAAATAAAAAGTACCTGTCATTGCCCAATTATCATTAGGGATGTTGTTCATACAGCACATTCATAAAGTATTCAGACTCCCTTAACTTTTTTCAGTGTTAAGTTGCAGCCTGATACTAGTTTAACTTATTTTTTTTCTCATTATTCTACACTCAATACCCCATAATGACAAAGTGAAAACAGAATTTTAGAAAGGTTTGCAATTGTATGAAAAAGGGAAAACTGAAATATCACATTGGCATAAGTGCAAAAACACTTGAAATTTACCTCAGGTGCCTCACATTTCTCTTGATCGTTGCGAAGATGTTTCTACATCTTGACTGAAGTCCACCAGTGGTAAAATAAATTGATTGGACATGATTTGGAAAGGCACACACCTCTCCATAAAATGCCTCGCAGCTGACAATGCTTACTGTGATGAACGCGGTGCACGACCCCTGCACTTCTCACCAATTCATGACAAAGGACCAGCTAATTTCACGCCACACTGAGACTTGCGCAACAATGTCACTCTCAACTGTACCCAGCAAAGTTTCCAGCTCGCAGGACCACAATTTAGGTGCCAGCAGCCTGAGAGCGATTGTCACTGGATTAGGTTAACTACGCAATTAATCCTTCACACTCCAAACTGCCACCAGACAGCTTTGGGACTATCAACCCTTCACAATGTTAGCAAGAACAGATGTGAATAAACATCTGTAACACATTGTCACCACAACAGGTATATTCAGAGGATTATTATATACAGTAGCACTGTTCAAGAGACAGGAATTCTATAGTTTGTATTAAACGCCTTAAAGATAAATTTAACACTTTTCAAAATAGGGTTTATTAATGAAAAGGTCAAATGGTGTAATTAAAATATTTACAGAAACGGATGTTAAAAAGAAAAGAGAACAATAAAGCAACAGAGACATAAAAGAAAGGAGTTAAGAAGGCAGAATACTTGCAAAGTCCTTGGTTTTAGCAGGTTGTTCAAGCAAAACATTGCCATGGTTCTTCTTGGGTGTTCCGTGGTTGATGGTATACGAGAGCTTCAACTTAACAAGTTCTGTCAGTCCTTTTTCGGTGATATAAAGGGGGTGTGGACAGAGATCAACTGACCAATAATCCACTATAAGGGATGGGTGCTGGGAGGCCACTACGTTTATGACCAATTGCCAAATACAGTTTTACATGAATATTAATAACTTCCAATATGTGTAGGTGGTAGTCTAGCAACTGGCAGATTAATATTCAGAATTATTACTTTGTTATTCAGGAAGGAAGAGACTGCTTTCTCTCCTTTTGAATGTGCTAACATAGTCATGTATGACCTTGATTTGTTCCGTATGATATTCCCCATTCAAATATATACCCAATATTAATGTGTCCTGTTCCTGTTGAATTCTATGAATTGTAACATTGTGGAATAGAATTTTTATGGCACGCTCTGCATTCCTAGAGCTTTAAATGGCCTTACATGTCATGTGTGACGGCTTGACTTACTATTGTTTTACGATAGGGCAGAGAAAAGTGTTTTTCATGGTTCGTGGAAACAGACATCCTGCCAAGACTAATTAGCTGTTTACAGCCCTGGCCAGGTCTGGTCAATGTGCCCATTTGTGTTTTAGTTAAGATAAGGAGGTTCTTTTGAAGTTTGTTAAAAGTTACAGCTAGTTACAGAGTAGGAACACTGCTCATGAAAAAAAAATGCTGAGACCTTAACAAGATGGTTGTCACGTACAACTCTGTCTAAATTGTGCGCAATTATTACACATGCTGTATCAGAGCAAAAAAGTCGTGAGGTCAAAAAGGAATTGATTGCACAGCTCAGAGACCGGTGTCTTGCAATAATCCTATCTGGGGAAGGCTACAGAAAATTCTGCAGCATTGAAGGTTCTGAAAAGCACAGTGGCCTCCATAATACTCACATAGAACAAGTTAAGCACATCCTCTTTCAAGAGCTAGTCACCTGACCAAACTGAGCAATCAGGGGAGAAGTGCTTTAGTAAGAGAGGTGACCAAGAACCTGATGTTCACTGACTGAGCTCCAGGGATCCTGTGTGGAGATGGGACAAAGTTCCAGGACAACCATCATTGCAGCCCTTCACCAATCTGGGCTTTATGGCAGAGAGGATAGATGGTAGCCTCTCCTTAGTGCAAAACACATGAAAGCCCAGTTGGAGTTTGTAAAAAAGCACCTGAATGACTCTCAGACAGAGGAACAAGTCTATGGTCTGATAAAACCAAGATGGAACTATTTGGCCTCAATTCTAAAACGTTATGTCTGAAGGAACCCAGGCACCACTCATAACCTGCCCAATATCATCCCAACAGTGAAGCATGGTGGTGGCAGCATCATACTGAGGGGGTGTTTTTTTTTTAGCAGCAGGGATTGGTCAGAGTTGAGGGAAAGTTGAATGGAGCAAAGTACATAGATATCCTCAATGAAAACCTGTTCCATAGCACTCAAACCCTCAGCACTATACCAACGATAAGATAATTGACCGATCATTCCTTGGACAGAAATTTTCATACGATTTTCTTATCATATGTACAGGTCACTAGGGACAATTCTGTCAATTTCCTAGAGTAGCCCAGCAAGAGTCCTGACTTGAACATATCTAAAGAGACCTGAAAATGGCTGTTCACCGATGTTCCCCATCCAACCTGACTGAGCTTGAGAGGATTTGCAAAGAAGATGGCAGAAAATCCCCCAAACCCAGGTGTGCAAAGCTTATGTCTTGCTGCCAAAGTGCTTCAACAAAGTACTGGGTAAAGGGTCTGAATACTTAAGGCACATGTGATATTTCAGTTTGTTCATTAATAAAATTAAGACATTTCTAAAATTCTGTTTTCACTTTGTCATTATGGAGGTACTGAGTGTACATTGCGGAAAAAAAATGAATTTAAACAACTGTAGAATTAGGCAGCAACATTCCAAAATTGAAAAAAAAGTGAAGGTGGTCTTAATACTTTATGAACGATATATTCTGTAAGTTAAAGGAGTGTTATTTAAAGTAGTGTTACCTTGATACATAGCTTGTGCTCCAGTCCAAGCAAAAAGACTTGCTATAGCATTGGCACGTAGAAACACTTCAATCTGGTCTGCAAGATTTAACTTCTCCATCCGATTTCTCTGAAACTTCTCCGGCACCAGGTGAAACTGTGTATGGCCAAAGCTACATGGACTGTTTAGTTTGGCACCTATGTGAAAAGTGTAAACTGTGATTAGGCCAAGATTCATTATCAGGACAAATCAGATGCAAAACATTGCGGCTTTGACAGTCCTAAACTACCTTTGTTCAAGTTATATGGCATGCGGTCACACACCTGCAATTACAGCTGGCGGCAGCACCACCGTGTAATAAAAATTTGCTTACTATTCCACAGTAAGCAATCAGTTTCTTTGTATAAGTGATCATTTCTACTATGAGTCACATCTACATGCGGTACCACCTTTTCTTCTAGCTCCTGGCCAAAGATTTGTTTAATCAGTTCAGTTCTTTAGGCATGCTATATACCTCCAGAGAGTGAAGGGTTAAGTACATGCTGATGGCTGTAGCAGCCATCAGCTTGTGTGCTTCCCATTGGCTCCCAGCAGTAAAGTGAAAGTGAGCCCCCGCCAGGCGCCGCCCCCTCCCCCTGGTACATGCTTTAAAGGGTAGGGGAGACAGAGGTCTATTAGAAAAAAAAAAATATAGAACGTTAAAATAAAATAATGTGTTAAAAAAATTTAAAAAAAAAAAGGTTTACTAGAACCCTTGCTGTCCTCTACACGACCGCAAATGTGAGCCCAGGGTGTGCACATGTATGTAAACCACAATCGCACCACACGTGAGGTAATTCCATGAACATTGGAGTGAGAGCAATAATTCTAACAGTTAACCCTAAACCGATGAGCTTAAAGGCTTTTGAAAGCTTCACCTATGGAGATTTCTAGGTATCAAAGTTTTTCACGATATCATGGGTGTTGATAAAGAATTGCCATGTTTGGTATTTATTTACTCAACGCAACCCAATCTTTTATATTTTAGCAAAAATTGGGGACTAACTATGCTTTAAAACTCCAATAAAAATGTACTGAACACAAAAAAACAAAAAAAGAAAAAAAACAGTTGCACAAATATTGTGAGACCAAAAAAAAAAAAAAATATTGAAAAAACCTTTTTATTCTACAAAATGGACATTGTGTGGGTGGAAAGTGTAAAACCTTGCACCGCATTCATATAATGCGTATAAAAGAAAATAAAATAGGAGTGGGACTTTTTTATTAGGTGCTCCAATTATATTAGGCCAATAACAGTTAAACTATTATATATTTATTACGCCTGTAGCACTAAAATTCAAAAGGTTTTATTCTACAGGTCCTCTGCTTTCAGATATTATATAATGTTCTGGAGATAAGTAAATTAAGCCAAAAATGCAATTTTTACATATGCAAAAAATAAATAAACATTAAAAAAAAAAAAAAAAAGTAAAAATTTGCTCTAGTGTCCAAGTGGTTAAAGCTTAAACTACATGTGTGTATTGCACACTTGCATTGGTTCAGCTTAGCACAAACGCAAGTATCCATATCTGGCACTTGAAGGACTGTTGAGGAAGTGGACAATCGCTGTAGTAGTGCTATTAAAGTGATAGTCACAATCTTCCAGTCTTATTCAGATTCTGTGTGGGCGGCTATCCCTCTGTACACTCACCATGAAGGGGTACTGTATTAGCCTTGCTGCCATTTATAGAACACCTTGTATTCTTTTTTTTTTTATGAATACAGGGCATTGTCTGATTAGATGAGGTGGAAAGGACAGGTGGTGATGCTCTCCACCTTGTCCAGTCAGAAAACACCTTCACTGAAAAAAAATACAAGGCTTTCTGTGAATGGCAGCAGTGCTCAGCAAGCAACCCCCTGTGATCAGTGTGCAGAGTGGACGCTGCTAGGCACAAGCTGCAAAAGTTTGCGGCAATCACTGTAGCAGCGCCGACTACTACGGTGATTGTCAGGTTCCCCAACGTTCCCACAGGTTCAGTGGATATAAAAAAAAAAGTCTACACACATCTGTTAAAATGTCAGGTTTCTGTGATGTAAAAAAAATATAAGACAAAGATAAATCATTTCAGAACTTTTTCCACTTTTAATGTGACCTATAGACTGTACAACTCAGCTGATCAACAAACTGAAATCTTTTAGGTGGAGGGAAGGAAAAGTAAAAAACTAAAATAATACGGTTGCATAAGTGTGCACACCCTTAAACTAATACTTTGTTGAAGCACCTTTTGATTTGATTCCAGCACTCAGTCATTTTGGGTATGAGTCTATCAGCATGGCACATCTTGACTAGGCAATATTTGCCCACTCTTCCTGGCAAAAACACTCCAAATCTGTCAGATTGAGAGGTCATCTCCTGTGCACAGCCCTCTTCACATCACCCCACAGATTTCCCATCGGATTCAGGTCTGGGCTCTGGCTGGGCCATTCCAAAGCTTTCATCTTCTGGTGAAGCCATTCCTTTGTTGATTTGGATGTATGCTTTGGGTCGTTGTCATGCTGAAAGATGAAGTTCCTCTTCATGTTCAGCTTTCTAGCAGAAGCCTGAAGGTTTTGTGCCAATATTGACTGGTATTTGGAACTGTTCATAACTTCCTCTACCTTGACTAAGGCCCCAGTTCCAGCTGAAGAAAAACAGCCCAAAGCATGATTCTGCCACCACCATACTTCACTGCGGGTATAGTGTTCTTTTGGTGATGTGCAGTGTTGTTTTTGCACCAAACATAACTTTTGCAATTATGGCCAAAAAGTTCAACCTTGGTTTCTTCAGACCAGAACACATTTTCCCACATGCTTTTGGGAGACTTCAGATGCATTTTTGCAAAATTTACCCGGGCTTGGATGTTTTTCTTTGTAAGAAAAGGCTTACGTCTTGCCACTCTACCCCATAGCCCAGACATATGAAGAATACGGGAGATTGTTGTCACATGTACCACACAGCCAGAACTTGCCAGATATTCCTGCAGCTCCTTTTATTGTTGCTGTAGGCCTCTTGGCAACCTCCCAGACCAGTTTTCTTCTCATCTTTTCATCAATTTTGGAGGGACGTCCAGTTCTTGGTAATGTCACTCTTGCACCATATTTTCTCCACTTGATGACGGTCTTCACTGTGTTCCATGATATATATAATGCCTTGGAAATTCTTTTGTACCCTTCTCCTGACTGATACCTTTTAACAATGAGATCCATCTGCTGCTTTGGATGCTCTGTGAGGACCATGGCTTTTGCTGTAGAATGTGACTAAGAAAATGTCAGGAAAGACATTCTAGAATAGCTGAACTTTATTTGGGGTTAATCAGAGGCACTTTAAATGATGGCAGATATGTACTGACTCCTATTTAACATGATTTTGAATGTGATTGCTTAATTCTGAACACAGATACTTCCCCAGTTATAAGAGGGGGTGTGCACAATAGTCCACATTGTTTTAGTTATTTTATGTCCCCCCCCCCCCCCCGCCTAAAAGATTTGTTTGTTTGTTTTCCAATTGAGTTGTACAGTTCATAGGTCACTTTACAAGGTGAAAAAAGTTCTGAAATTATTTTTCTTGGTCTCATTTTTTACATCACAGAAATCTGACATTAACAGGGGTGTGTAGACTTTTTATATCCACTGTATTAAATATGCACACTTATATTGTACTGACTACAAAAGGAATTTACCAATGAATATATTGTTCTCATACTGTCTTCTAAAGAGAGGTAATCTGCTCGGCTCATAAGGGATGAATGGAACCTCTTCAGGTATAACATGATCCAGAGGAACAAACTGAAAATAAACAGAAAAAGAAAAACTATTCAATAAGCGCATTATGTAAACAGTTCTAAAATTATTGCACCTAAGAATATAAGAGAACGTTAAAGGAGCTTTCCAGCTTTTGGGTCATATCCATTGACAATAAACAGTCTCTCATATTAAGTTGCATCTTCAAACTATAGTATTTACTAGAATTTCTCTCTATATATGTGATAATTTCCAGTAAAACATCCAGTCTAGTCACAAGCAGCCCTTTTTAAGGTACTCATTGAATTTCCACAGTCCAACCTACACATCATAAATTCTACACAAGTTTCATTGCATAGTTACAATGATCCACCTTGGAGCAATGTCAGTACAGTAAGTATGTGGCATAACTGTTGGCCCACTGTGGATATAGAGATCACCTTGCATCTCCTCTTAATAAATGCAAAGTGTTATCTGATTGAATGAGGTGGAGACGGGGGATGGGCATTTCATGATTTCCACTTCTTCCAATCAATCAGAGAACGCTTTGCATTCATTGAAACAAAAAAAAAAAAACACAAGTGTTCAGTGAATGGTGCCCATGCCAAGCAAGTGACCCCATTGTTACAAAGCAACAGATTAGCACAAGACACCGAGGATCACTGTAGTAGCAGAAACTACAGTGACTCTCCACTTCCACAGGGATCCCAAAGGTATTGCATTATGCATACTTATATGAATCCAATCTGGATGACTGTAACTATGCAATAAAATCCAAACCTGGATCTCAGCTTTAATCTTCCTGCAGTACGATTTTTTTTTTTATAAAAAAAAAAAAGTAATCTATCATCTATCTATATATCTATCTAGATCTCTTGTCAAAGCCCAAAAGGTTAAACACTACTAAGCAACGACAAGATCTCAGGTCATCCAGTCCTCTCTGGTGCAATTGAGCCATTATAGCACTTTAGGAGTAATGTAAAGTGATTGTAAAAAGGTAAAAGTTTTTTTCTTCACTGTAATGAATTCTCTGCATGAAGGTAAACAAACCTTATAATCGCCTTCTGCCCACCTTATAAGGAAATGGTGCAAGGCGGTTCTCTTGTTCTGGGAGGATGCCATATGACGTCCTCCCTCTCTAACCATGCGTGCACGCCCCCCCAGGAGCATGCAGCGCAGCGATCGTTGGTGCGTTGTGTCCCTCGGACACAGCGGATCACAGATCAGCGGAAACAGCAGATGACGTCGGCTCTGTCATATGATTATCTGTGTCCAATCACAGCTGATCGCATGTAAATAAAGAAATGATGGTTATCAGCATTTTTCTCCTCACGAGCTGTAACGCTGACAGCTCAAAAGGAGAGGAGAGCCGGTAATCTGCATTCCTCAGAGGGGACATCTACCCTGATGATCAGTGTAGCCCCATCAGTGCCACCTGTCAGCGCCCATGAGTGCACATTAATGCCACATATCAGTGTCCATGTGAGCTGCCTTTCAGTGCCAACTATCAGTGCCACCTATCAATGCCAGTCAGTGCTGCAAATCAGTGCCGCCTATCAGTGACATAGGAGTACTGCCTTTCAGTGCCCATCAGTGATGTCTGTGAATGCCCACCAGTTATGCCTCACAATGCCCATCAGTGCCACATACCAGTGCTTCCTTATCAGTGCAGCCTATCAGTGCCCATCACTGCTGCCTCACTAGCGCACATCAGTGAACATTTCATAACAGAAACGAAGAAAACATTTTTTTTTTTTTAAATTCAGTTGTTTTTGGTTTGTGTATCAAAAAAAAAAAAAAAATCAAAAAACAGGAAAGAAAGCTCTGTCTCAAAGAAAATTATAGAAATTTCATATGGGTACAGTGTTGCATGACCGCACAATTGTCAAAGTGTGACAGCGCTGAAACTGAAAATTGGCCTAGGCAGGAAGGGGGTGCAAGTGCCCGGTAGGCAAGTGTTTAATAGTAGCTCCCCCTCCCCAATACTTACCTGGGCCCAATCTCGATCCAGCACCATGCACATCTGCAGCAGCTTCTCTCCACTCTCTCATAGACTTGGTTGGAACCAATAGGAGCCATTGCTGCTGCTGTCAGTAAAATCCTGTGAGCACAAAACAGGGCCGAGCCAGACACAAACAGCCTGGCTTGGGATCAAGCACACACAAGTGCCCCCCACAGGAAGCGGCTTCCTATGGTGGGCACTCGGCAAGGGACAGAGGATCCAGGAGTGCCAGTGAGGGACCCCAGAAGAGAAACAGGGCTTCGCTGTGCAAAACCATTACACAGAGCAGGCAAGTATGACATGTTTATTATTTTAACTTTAATTAAAAATAAATAAAGCTTTACAATCACAAGTTAATAGCATCTATAAAAATTGTAAATGACATTCCAGGGCTGACCAAGCATACTGGGGTAGGGAGTTCCAGAGGAATGGAGAGGCTCTGAAGTCGTCATGGAAGCAAGTGTGGAAGGAGGTGACGATGGAGCTAGAGAGCAAGATGTCTTGGGAGGAGCGGAGTGGGCGATTTGGACAATATCTGCGGATGAGGTTGGTGATGTAGCTAGGGGCAGTGTTGCGGATGGCTTTGTATGTTGTGGTTAGTATTTTGAATTTTATACATTGGGTTAGTGGAAGCCAGTGTCTTTATGGATCATTCATGTCTTTATGGACCTTGCTTTGTGCACTGGTGTGCAGTCATGTTGGAACAGGAAGGGGCCATCTACAAACTATTCCCACAAAGTTGGGAGCATGAAGTTGTCCAAAACGTCTTGTTATGCCGACACCTTAAGAGTTCCCTTCACTGGAACTAAGGGGCCAAGCCCAACCCCTGAAAAACAACCCCACGCCATAATCCCCCTCCACCAAACTTTACACTGGGCACAATGCAGTCAGGCAAGTACCGTTTTCCTGGCAACTGTCAAACCCAGACATGTCCATCAGATTGCCAGAGAAGTGTGATTCAGCACTCTGGAGAACACGTCTCCACTGCTCTAGAGCTCAGTGGGCAGCGTGCTTTACACCACTGCATCCGACGCTTTGCATTGTACTTGGTAATGTAAGGCTTGGATGCAGCTGCTTGGCCATGGAAACCCATTCCATGAAACTCTCTCTACGCACTGTTGTGCTAATCTGAAGGTTACATTAAGTTTGGAGTTCCTTAGCTATTGACTCTGCAGGCAGTTAGTGACTTGTGCGCACTTCAGCAGGCACTGACCCCGCTCTGTCATTTTACGTGACCTACCACTTGGTGGCTGATTTGCAGTTGTTCCCAGTTTTTTCCACTTTGTTATAATGCCACTAACAGTTGGCCGTGGAATATTTAGTAGCAAGGAAATTTCGAAGAGGACTTATTGCACAGGTGGTAACCTATCACAGTACCATGCTTGAATTCACTGAGCTCCTGAGAGCGACCCATTCTTTCACAAATGTTTGTAGACACAGTCTGCATGCCTAGGTGCCTGACTTTATACACCTATGGGCATGGAGGTGATTGGAACACCTGAATCCAATGATTTGGAGGGGTGTCCCAATACTTTTGGCAATATAGTGTATATTGAAAAGGGACTAACTATATCTTCAGTGGGTACAACAGACAATGATAACCATGTTTAAAAGCAACTATACATTTTTTGTGTAAACATTTACAAATATGACAAACACAGTTTTAAAAGTAATATAGAGGAACATCAATGGATAATATAAACAATGGTGACTTAAATGATAGAATACCTGGAGATCATGCTATTCAAGTTGATGCATGTTAAATGTTTACAAAAATAAAGTATAGTTCCTTTTAAATATTGTCTGTTGTACCCACTGGAGATATAGCTTAAGTGCCCTTTCAATATACATGCAATTTTAGCATTTTCAGATAACAACCATTAATAGCAGCTTACATGCAATCATCGGCCACTTCATTAGGTATACCTGTTCAATCGCTTGGTAATACACAAACTGCTAATCAGCTAATCACATGGCAGCAACTCCATGCATTTAGGCATCTAGATGTGATGAAGACAGCTTGCAGAAATTCAAACTGAGCATCAGAATGGGGAAAAAAAAAAAAAATAACTGGATTTTTTTTCTACATACTTAGCTGTAAAATCCATTTCTTGGAGTTTATCACAGGACACAGAGCAGGCTATTCATGACTATGTGGGTTATATTATTATACAGTATTTATATAGCGCTAAAAGGTTTGCTCAGCACTGTACATTATAGTGGGGGACAGAACATGAGACAATACAGTAATACAATACAATACACGAGGGGGTCAAGGGCCCTGCTCTTTCGAGCTTACAATCTAGGAGGGAGGGGATAGTGGTACAGGAGGAAGTGGCTGTGGGGGATGGAGTGGTAGGAGGAGATTGGCTGTTAGGTGAGGGTGGGGTAGGCTTCCCTGAAGAGATGGGTTTTCGGTGTACACCTAAAGGTGAGGAGGGTAGGCGACAGTCTGATGGAGTAGTGAGTTCCAGAGGATGGGGGAAGTCGTGGGGAAGTCCTGCAGTCGGGCGTGGGAGGTGGAGACCAGGGAGCTAGAAAGTAGGAGGTCTTGTGAGGAGCGAAGATTACGGGTAGGGTGGTATTTGAGTATCAGGTCGGTGAGGTAGTTTGGGGCAGCGTTACGAATGGCTTTGTATGTCTGTGTTAGTAGTTTGAATTTAATGCGTTGGGCAATCGGGAGCCAGTGGAGGGAATGACAGGAGGGGGGGGGGGGGGGGGGTGTCAGAAGCAGAGCGGTTGGTAAAGTGGACGAGTCTGGCAGCTGAGTTCAGGATAGACTGAAGCGGGCATAGTCTGCGACGAGGTAGGCCGGTGAGAAGGGAGTTGCAGTAGTCCAGACGTGAGATAATAAGAAAGTGAACAAGTAGTTTAGTAGTGTCTGGGGTTAGGAACGAACATATTTTGGAGATGTTGCGGAGGTGGAGCCTGCATGAGTATATGCCACCTATAGTTGAATGGACACTGGCGGACCAACCAGAAAGGAAGTCCTCCCCCTATATAATCCGTTCTACACAGGAAGTACTTCAGTTTTTGTAGAAAG